AACAGCTTGAAGCTTGCCAGGTGAGCAGCAGATAGGAGAGGGGGGGAGAAAGAGAGAGAGAGAAAGAGAGAGGGAGGGAGAGAGAGAGGAAAGAGAAAGAAAGAGAGCGGGGGAAGAGGAGTGGCAAGCAGACCAAGGGCAGATAGAGAGGGAGGGAGAGAGAGAGAGAGACCCTTTTGACATCTAAAATGAAGATAACACTGCATATATCCTTTTTTTACCTGTATGTGTATGTACGTGTATATATATATATATATGTGTGTGTGTGTGTGTGTGTGTATGTATACACACATACATACACACACACATATATATACACACACACAAACACACACACACAAACACACACACACCTATAATAAAGGTAAAAAAGGATATATGCAGTGTTATCTTCATTTTAGATATCAAAAGGGTTTTGCGGCTCCTGGTGTTTGTTTTTGGTGGGAAACGGGTCCAAGTGGCTGTTTGAGTGTTTTGGGTTGCCTACCCCTGCTCTAGGGTAATTGCAATAGCTGTAATTTCAGGCACATGTTGTAGGTCCCTTCATTCAGTGCCATAAATTTAGGTGGTGTCATCCATAATTCTCAAATGGAAGAAGTTTGGCACAACCAGGACTCTTCCAAGAGCTGGTCACCCGGTCAAACTGAGCAATCGGGGAGAAAGTCCTTAGTAAGAGAGGTGACACAGAACCCAATGGTCACTCTGACTGAGCTCGAGATCTGTGTGGAAATGTGACAGAGTTCTAGAAGGACAACTATGACTGCAGCCCCTCCACCGACCTGGGCTTTGTGGCAGAGTGGCTAGACGGAATGAATGGTCGTAGGTCAAGGATTACTTGTATATTAAGTGTGCTTGTCTAAGAGGACGAACTAATAGGAATGTTTACAATCCCCAATCACTTATATTTTTTTAAAATCTAAAAAAAAGTAAGAACAATTCAGATACAAAAAAAAGTGAGAACAATTCTAAAGAAGGTACCACCAGGAAAAAAAATCTAGTATCTTCTAACAGCAATAAACTTGTATTTCTTCCATCAATAACAGTAAGAAAACATAATCTCTAAATTACCTCTTTCAAGGGATGTGCAACAACTGTAAGATAAATAACATTTTTCAAGATTTTACTCATAATCCATCTTTGTCATCACAACTCGGTATGTTCAGTATTAGAAAATGAAATGGAAACTGATCTTTGTCTTCGAGCTACGACCACAATTAAGGCCAAAATTTCTGTTGCTGAGACATTTGTTAAGTGAATTTTGACCCATTTTACTACTTTTCTTGCCACTTAACAAATGTCTCAGTTAACAATAGAAATTTTGGGCTCAATTTTGGTCATAAGTTGAGAACTACATGTATTTCATGACAACAGACATTTCCATATTAGCTTTCTAATATGAACTTAACCAAGTCCTTTGAAGCAAAAGCTTTCAACCTTTGAATGGGTAAAACCCAGTATTATGTTCAAATCTTATTTTACCAAGAAATGCTTACATGTTGAATTTGGGATTTAATTAACAAAATGTTTGTTACCATAAAGACAATCCAAAAGTACCTGTCTGTATTTGCATTTTGCCATTAAAATTTTTGTTGGACGCTCGGTTTCTGGTTTCACTTGAGGAACGTTCTTCTAAATATAGAGGGGAAAGTCTTTTATAAATAAAGCATAAACAAGCGAACATCCAGATACTATTTATTTAATTTGTGTGTTGCCCATCTCTTCTAGAGGTGACTATCACACCACTCCTAGTCCTATGAAATGCTGTATGCATAGGTACTAAAGTATCTGTGGACACCTTGTGATTCTTGCTACCAATGCCTCACTTTTTATATTTCAGAAATGTATAAAAAAGAACCTGCATATAAGTATGATATGAAGTAAAGGGCTCCCAATTCTTGGTAATTTGCATTCTGAATGAGTGCCAGTATGTCTCCCAACATAGCCATTTTATATACAACTAAGCTTCTTGCAGAAACCATCTTTGAGCAGGCTCTTAAAAAGTTTGTGGGACTCTTGGAAAAATTAGTTCATAATTCACAATATAGTTCCTATACTTCAGAAATGTTCCCCAAAAACCTTTCAAAACAAAATAATGGTTTCCTCACTGTAACTTCTCTCATATGTCCCTTTTCTTATCAGTTATTTAATTTAATAGCTCATTCCAGTGGTGGGATTCAAATATGTGAACAACCGGTTCTCTGTGTGGATGACACTTCCAGAAGTCCATTCTGGGCCTGGGCAACAAAAAATTAGCTACCGGTTCTACTGAAGTGGTGCGAACTGGCTGAACCCCACCACTCGTTCATTCCCTTTTGCACTGACAAAAACTGCATGAAAATTGGAAGATAAACCTAAGCCATGTTTAAGCTTTTTCTCCAGGTTTTTTTTAGCAAATTGCATTGCATCAAATTGCACCAATTTAGCAAAATGGAACTTGCACCATTTCATCTCAGGGATATTTTTTCATTTTAAAAAATTAGATTGTGTTTAAAAAACAATAAAAAGATTCTCTTTAGTCACCTGCATTTTCTAAAGTAAAGTAATTCCACTAAAAATCAGGTGTCTCCTTACCGAACAATTAAACAATGCATACTATTGTATGGGAGACAGATGTAAATATGAATTCTATAGGACAATTCATATAGGTGAGTAGAATCCTATTTTTACATTTTTCTCAAACCAATGCAATTTTACACAAAAGAATTTAATGATCTGCTATTGTTAGCACGATGTGAAACAATTGCCATGGAAAACAAAATACTGGGATTACCAATAGTATTAAAAAGAATAAAAAACAAAGATATATTATCAATTCAGGGTATCTTTTATTATGTATTCCTATAGAACAGGCATGTCAAACTCACAACGTCACATGACGTTGCGCAATGTATCGGGCTGATTTTGCCATTGCCAGCAATGGGGTGGGCGTGGCTTCCATGTGATGCATCCGGCCTGCGGGCTGGCAGTTTGACACCCCTGCTATAGAATGTAACTACCAAATTCATAAATCACCTGCAATATAATTCTATTTTGGGAAAATTATGATGGATAGATTCAAATGGGCATGGCCGAGCCAGAGTAAGCATTGCTCCTGCAAGCTTCTTAGAGCAAATTTCTAAAAAGCAGAACTATTATATATCAGCTCTATAGTGAACTGAGTCAGAAGATTTGGCTTGCATTTTTGCTTCTCACAAAGGGAGAAGGATGGCTTTAAGTAAACTGCCCCACAGTTCTCTTTAGCCCACTATGTCACACTGTTAAAATACAAGCTTTTTATACACCAGAAATTGAGCATCGCTGTTTTCAATAGATGCCAGCATCTGGTTGGGGCTTTCTTTCTAAGGCAATTTGGCCTGCATCATTTGGATGGGAGGTCACCCCAAAAATATAAGTAGTCCTCAATTTACAACAGTTCATTCATTGACTTCGAAGTAACAATGGCATTGAAAAAAGTGATGACCCCTTTTCACATTTACCATCATTGCAGCATTTTTGCAGCCACATGATCAAAATTCTGACGCTTGGCAACTGATCATATTTAGGAAGGTTGCATTATCCTGGGGTCACGTGATCACTATCTGACATCTTCTGACAAGCAATGGAGGGAGCCAGATTCACTTAACAACCGTGTCACTAACTTAACTGTAGTGATTCATTTAACAACTGTCTCACTTAGCAATAGAAATTTTGGGCTCAATTGTGGTCGTAAGTCGAGGACTAACTGTAGAGGGCAGTAGATTGATAAATCAAAATTTCCCCAAAGACATGGCCAGCCACTTTAGCAACAGTACCAAAATAAGCGAGCGTCGAAGTTACCAGCAATCGAGACAAACCTCGGACTGGCATCAGTGAGGGCGCCAGGTGTGGAAAAGCCAGCGCTGATATCTTACCTTTGAAAGATCCAGCTAGTTGCTCCTCTTTCGGATGCTGCTGCTCGGTCCTTGTTTCCTTCTCGGTCAGCCATGCCGGTTGGAACTCCACACCATGTTCTTCTTCCTCTTCTGCTGCTGCCGCCGCCGCCGCCTCTCTTTCATCTTTTGCAGCCTTCCTGGTAAGCCGTCTTCCCGACATCGCAAAGCCGTGCGGCCTCGGCTTAGTCCCCTCAGTCGAGTACTCGAGTACTTCCTCAGAAAACCTTACTTCCCGCCTACGACCACCGTGATGGCTTCCGCCGCTGCCTTGGGGGATGGAGCCGCACGTTCCAAACCTGCTACCGCCGCCGCCGCCATTTTGCGAGGGAGTTCTCCTCAGAGGCTTCCTGGGTGTCACGTGACAAAGGAACAACCTCTCCTCGTCCCCGCCCGCCTCGCTCTGGCGGGGAGAGTCCGAGAAGGCTACTAACTTTCCAGCAGACATAGCCGTCTATCCGGTCTGTTATAACCTCACCAATCCCTGGCTGATTTTTCTACCGCCGAGGAGCTTAGCCACCCCGGGGACTGGTCTTCAGCGTCGCGGTCTTTTTTCTTTTTAATCGATTTGCACCAGCCAACTTTCATTCTACGCTGCAGGCTGAAAAGAGAAATGAAAACCAATATTATAGAGATTTAATCCTTTCCTCTCTGCACTTGTTTCGTAGTTTTCCTTCTCAACTCTTCCACGGTTTTTCTACGCCTTTATTTGTCGTCCTCTTCCCCTATGTCTTCTTTACAGGAGCAAAGCGGTCGATTTAACACACGCCCTTGGTGAAAGTTAATTTGAACCTCTTCATCAGCCTATATTTTTGACGGACAGCCGCTCCTGGCCCGGTCATCTATGGCATGTCTTACTGACAACCTTTTCCTTTTCCGAAGAGAACACAAACTGATAGGACAGCAACAACAACAAAAAAAAAGAGTAAGACCATTTTATTCTCCCCCCACTCCTCTTATGGGTTGTCGCGAGAAAAAGGGTTGCCTCGAAAACTAACCCCTGATAAGTCTCCCAAACAGTACCTAGTCCACAATCAGCAAGTAAAGAGTATTGGCTCAACCCGGCATCTGCTTAAAAAAGTAAGTAGGTCACCGGAAGGTGACAAATATTAACCTCCTAATTGAATCAGCCAAATAAATAAATAAATACTTTAATTCTGAATCTTTGTATACCATCTGTTAATAAGGAAAAATTATTTGGAAAACAATATTTTGGAAACTGCAGTGTCCAAAGAAGGCTACTACAATTCAAACTCAAGGAATAAAGATATAGACATTGTTGTCTATTCTATATAAACCCAGAAAGATAATACTGAGATTCTATGGCCTAAACTAGCAACTGGCTAACTTTGCCAAGGCTGTTATGCACCATGTTTATTAGAGGGAGACAAGCAGGGAATTGAAAACTCCAGAAAAAGGCAATGACAAACAGCTTGGGCATTTTTGGCCAAAAAGACCTGCATGAATGTGTCTATGTAGTCTCCAGGAGTCAAGATCAAAGTAACTGAATTTTTCTTAACCTGTTATGTAAATTTATTATTATGCAGCAATCTTTGCATGCTCAGGATCTCTATTTTTTGAAGTTCAGAGATGTCAATTGGAACAATACAATCATTTATCTAAAATAGTAAAGATTTGATAAGAAATTCATCTCAGATACTGCTATACACTCTGAAATAGTTTCATTCAATAGTACCTGTTTTGATTATGATGAGATTCAATATTAGAAAAACTGAGACCAAGCTAGATGTATAGCATGTTATGATAGTTATTTCTCACTTTTTAAAATTCTACCAGTGCACATTTATCTATAAATTTCTATGCACAACTGTGATTCCAAATAAGTGTGCACAAGACTACATTGTTAGTGTGAGATCCTATAAATCTCTACTCAAGCCCCTTTGAGATCAATAGGACTTATTCATGGTAAGTGAATATATGTAGGAGTTCAGCATTAATATTTTATGTACTCAGCATTCTATTTACTGTATTCTTTTGATGCTTTGCTACCATTACTGTATCTTATTTTCTCCAGTATAATTCACCATAATCAAAGTTTATTTAGCCTTAAACCTATTTGCAATTCCAAATTTCTCTGTAAACTCAGTTTGGATGTAATTGTTCCTAAATAAATTCCTATATGTACAAAAGTTTATTTTATCCCATATTATTCAAAACAATTAAACCCCTCCCAGATTCCCCTAGAAATATCTAATTGATGTCTTAAGTTTATGTCCCTAGATATGTTCTTACAAACTTTTCTAATGAACTAAAATAACTTTAATCTTCATTAAAGATTCTGCATCATGATTACAATGCTGTGCTTTCCAAAGAAAATGTTTATCAATTTTATTAATGTCAGAAACCAGCATTACAAATAAAAGCATTACAAACAATAATAGTAATCAATAAAAATGAAAAACAGAATAATGTATTGCAATTCATGGTGGATTATCAGTGGGCAGTTAGAGTCTGCGTAATTTTGCATACAGCATAACAGAATTTGGCCACATTCAAAGAAACTATTTTGTACTGATAACGATAACAGTAGTTGCACGTAAAAGAGATCAGTATTTCCCAGATATTAGGTAAAATGTTATAAATTGAATCCGTGAGTCCTTATAGAAGATACAGTATAGCAGGATGTGAGCTATAGTTTCAATTGCCCCTTGTTCATAATGGCACAGTGTCAGCTGTGCTACGGGATTTTTTTGTATCAGCCCTAAGGGATTTTTTTGTATCAGCCCTCCAAAACTGCTGTGGGAAATGCTGTTGCAGCACAGTAGGGTTATTCAATATAAATATCTCATTTTAAAAGAGGGAATTTGACTCCTCAAATAAAAGTTCTTGGAAGAGCAAACCAATCTTGTTAGATTTCCAGATCTTTAGTATGTTGTTAAATACACTAAGTGCACAGGCTCAGGCCAACAACTGGATACCATATATCCTGATATAATTCTTGCAAACAAATTCAGAGAGGAACAGGAATGCCATACTGCAACCCTCTTCTATAATCTCTTCTGTTGGGACAGTTCTTGCAGTTTTGAAGAAATGGCTCAGAAAGGAAGAAAGCTTGGAAAATGATGGCCTGTTTCATCTATCCCTATTTATCAAACCTCCGCAGAATGATTGAAATTAAGACAAACATGATAATTTCTCCTTCCAGTATTTCTCATCTGCTATTGCTCTACCATTCATCCCCAATCTTCCATTTTATTTGGTATTCCAAATGAAATTCAGACAAAAGTATTGGTATTTGTGAGACCCAGCTGCTCTTTACATACTTACATATTCATATTCTGACACACTCATGGGAGCTATGATCCATCATAACTGAGTGCAAAGACCCAGAATTCAGAATTCTATATCCAAAGGCCATGTTTATTTCACTGTCTTTTTTGCAAATGCATCTTTGTGGACAGGCATCACTTTGGGATAAAGAATCAGCAATGCATTTGCTTTCAAAACCCTACAGTTCTAATTAATCCAAAGCCAGCAAAATTGTGATTTTTTTTTCGTCCATATGTACATACTATTAAAAAAGTAGAAGCCGTATTTTACTCTTTATCATTTTTAAGTCAGTATTTTGTCCTTCCAAAGAAAGCTATCAGCGTTCTATAGCTATCCCGTCCTTGCTCAAGAGATAACAGAGGCGCTGCTGAGTGAGGAAAAATCCTCCACAAAACAGAACATTCCAAAGTGGAATGAACATTGATCGGGGCGACAACCTTACAAAGAAACGTCATTGAATCAGCTATTGAAAAGACGGCTCCCATGGATTGCTTTCTCTCATAGTCATGGAAGAGTGGGGGGAAAAACTACACCTCCCAGCATCCCTCTGCAAGGTCTTCCACTGAGGAACAAATCATTCGGACGTTGCTAGGAATTAAGGATTCTGGGATTGTTGTGTGTTCGGCTTCAAGGAAGTTATTCTAAATCTAAGGAGTTTCAGTTTAGTTTTAGGAAGATAGAATCTGGATATAATCTTCCTTTTAACACGACGAAGGACGGAGCAACGTGCATGACTTTCTGCGGAAAGGTAAATCTTGGTTTTCTCGCTTTTATTTTTTGGTTGGAGAGGGGAGAAGGAAGAAGGGACGCGGTTTCCAAATTCCCGGTACTGTGTTGAGGGAGAGATTTACCTGCGATTATCTAACGACCGGTAGCAATTCGCCTGCATAAGGATAGCCTTTGCTGTGATGCATTTTTATTCCAGTCTGAGGCTACGAGTAAGCTCGAAGTATTTAAAAGCTGAAAAAGTAGCACCGAAAGTAGCTCTGAAACCCTCTGCAGAGCAACGAAGGAGATCCATTCAGTCGTTTAATAGAAATGTGAATTCCTGGGTTGGGGGAAGAGGACGGTAAGAAGGCGTTTTGGATTTAGCGCCCGCCGAAAGATGACAAGCTAACGTGGCCAAGGCGAGTCCAAGGTGAGAACTGGAGGCGATTTCCTGGAGGCTTCCTGGGCTATATATGTGAAAGACTCTTTAGATATTTTTTTCCTATTTCAGGTTAATTTCTCTAAATTGTAAGAGAAGATCATTCTCTTTTCCATTCAAGTACTTCTCACCTGCTTGGACATTATGAATGAACTAAATAAATAGATAAACCTAAAATACTGTCTCCATCTATGTTGCTCTTGCTTTTCGTAAAAGTTACCCTGTTTTAGTCCTGTTTTACCTGTGATGCATGGAAGTATTATTCATGTCTAGAAACAAACCAGATCCCATCTTCAAATAAGTGTAGCTTCTGCATAATCAGGGAATGACTTAGGGACATAATGATGGCTTCCTGCATCCTGGGACAAAGGACTGAGAGGGAAGTGCCAGCTCAGGATCTCAAATAAACTTCATTATTCTCTATATTATGGTCATACTCTAGTTCAGACATGTTGAACACAAGGTCTGGGGGCCGGATGCGGCTCGCGAAGCCATCCTGGAAACAGTGAAGGAACGGCCCCCCGCTGCTTTGGCCCTGGCCTAGGCCGGCTGGGAGCCAATGTACAATTTTGTGGTGGCCATCTATGCTGAAATGCATTCAGTCTTAGCTCCACAAGGCCGTCTGGAAAGAAGCGAGGAATCAGCCCCTGCTGCGTCGGGCCCGACTCCTGGGTGCATGCTTGGGAGGTGTCACCTTTTGTGAAGAATGAAGAAATGGACCATGCCTTGGCACTTGTCTTGGTCCCACCCTCTTCTGCCAGAGACCCTCAGATCTGTCCCACTCCTGCCAAGGCCCCCACAGGCACCCTTGACGCGAACGATGTAGAGCTGGCCATGCCCACCCAGTAGGCCACACCCAGTCCACCCACGCCCACCCTGTAGGCCGCCCCCCGCCCCCTCGAGGGCAACTGCAATGCTGATTTGGCCTTCAATGAAATTGAGTTTGACACCCCTGCTCTAGTTCATGGTTGTCCACCTGGGCTTGCCTGGGCTTTATGGAGTGAAGAGGAATTATCTTGGGCTGCACACATTAACTATATAATATAATTAATAGATAGATAAAAAACCTTTCTTTTGTTACATTTTTTTGTTATTTTATGAGGAGCATTACTAGCTGTCCAGGGCCACATGCAGGCCATGGGTAGGACACAGCTGATCTAATTAATCCACCCGGAGCTACCTTTTTTTAAATGATGTGATGAGACATGATCTGAGTTACCTGCAGTCCAAAATATTTAGGCATCATGTAAAGATACTTTAACTCAGGGGTCTTCAAACTTGGCCCTTTTAATGACTTGTGGACTTCAACTCCCAGAATTCCTCAGCCAGGCATGCTGGCTGAGGAATTCTGGGAGTTGAAGTCCACAAGTCATAAAAGGGCCAAGTTTGAAGACCCCTGCTTTAACTCAAGTGGAAGAGCGTAAACTAATAATGACAGTATCTGGTTTGACCAACAAGGCTAAAAATGGTATAATCCTGTTCCCATTCCTAATCTCCCAAACTGTTATGGTGGTTAACTATTAAAACAATCCTTTATAATAATACTTAAAACAGTCTATTTTTAGTAGACAAAAAGAGCTCAAATTTATTACACAATAAAGAATTACACTGGTTGTAAGAATGAAATAATTAAGCAAATGATTTAATTATCATAAATTAACATGTTTAGAGAATATGTAAACAATTGGTGAGTGATTTTAATCAGTTATTTCTATTGCTCTTCCTCCTCAGTTTAAATAAATTCATTTTGATTGTCATTTTGAGAAATACCTTCATTGTTTTAATAACATTTGCTGCTAAATAAATTAATTAGACTTGGTATTTGTTCAGGTAGAAATTATGAGAGTTATTTTAAAGTTCTTAAATTGTGTATAATTAAATTATAAACCATTATAATTTTAACCCGGATAAATAAAATTTTATAATTCTTTTGTTGTAAGTATTACTGAGCACTGCAAAAAAATTAAAGTTTGAGAAATAAAATAGAAAAGTTAATAAATCATTAATCTTGTTTCTGCACAAATAAATCAGTTCTTTTGACCATTGCTTCATTACATTTTGCAGCCATAATAATTTGTTACAAAAATATAATATTTTAATGTTTTGACATATTTCCTAATTCTTTTTCTTGTTTTCAGTTAATTTGTGGCTAATGAATACTATCCATAGATGCCTCAGAAATGTTTTCATGTTGTAGGAATTCACTAAGTTCTTGACAAATATTTCTTATAGAATTTTAATTGAAAATAAATAAGTTTCAAATATTAAAAATAAATGTGTAGAAATAGTGACAGAAAATTTATTGAGTTTAGTGCCATTCTAAGCATGTATTGAAAAAGTACAGTAAATTCAGTGAGGTATTCTCCTTTTCAACATAGGTTAAAGTTATAGTCTTAGTTAAGATTTCTTCACAAGTTAATTATTTTGGATGTTTATTTGAATTTTCTTTTTTTTAGCTGGGCAAGGTATATATTTTCCAAGAACATTGGGGAATATATCTAGAAGAGATCTTCAGAATAGACAAAATAATGTTTGCTGTTTAAGCAAGAAAGTAAAACTAATCAAATCATTGAAAGTTAAGAAAAGATGGCAGAGGAAAACAAGCAATCTGCTCAGAAAGGTATGGCTCATTGTTTTGCATATTATACATGACTGTTCAGAACTAATGGGACACATTTGTCTACATTGTTAAGAAGCTCTTAGGTCAAATCCACTAAGTGTCTTTAGGCAAGTCACTATTTCACAGTTCTACTTTGTTGTATGAGTTGTTGTATGGAAGAAATTGGAAAGAATAGTGTTAGGTATATTGACTTCAATTTAGGAGGAGGGGTGGGATTTACATTTGACAAACAAGTAATACTGTTAAAGATGGGAATTCATTACATTTAGAAAGTAGCAAGTGGTCAAGTAGCAATCTAGGTACTTTTGTTCAATATACTTTCTGAAAATAGTACAGTAGTGTGAGCATAGTGTATGTGGTAGGTCCCTGTTTTATAAATCTGGACTTTTCCAGTATGAAGTGGTTTTTCCCCCTGTCTAAATGGATAGCAAATTGGTAGCTGCAAGCTGAAGGAATAGTGCTGAGATCATTTATTCAGCTGGAGTCAGTCGAGTGTCTAGCTTTAAGTTACTGGAGGGACATAAGTGAATCAACTGTAAACAATTAATTTTTTTTCTCAGAAGTTTAAAAGAAGTCTTACAACTTTGAAATCCTTGACAGAAAGATGGGATATAAATATAGAGAGAGCATTGGTTGGCAAAAACAGAGATTTTTTTTTTTTTTTTTACTGATGTAAGATACTTTATAAGCTATCTTTCAGGCAAAAGCTTCCAGTGTGGCCTCTGAAGAATAAGAAGGCCAATGTGAAAATAAAAATTATTAAATTACTAAAAGAAAGCTAGAAACTGGTGAAAAATAATGATTTGTGATAATTCACTGGAGATTCAATGCTTTGCTTCCTTTATCCTGGAAAGCAAATAGTTTTCTTGAGCACATAACAACTTAAATTACTGAAACCATATTTTGTATGTTGTCCCATACAGACCTCCCTGAAGAAGAAAAAGAAAAGTATATGTCAGAGAGGCAGATGAATCTTCAGTCCCCCTCTGTAGAAAATATCTCAGCCAGCCTTCAACAGGATAAGGCAGAAGAAGCAAAAGAGGATTCCTTGGTAGAAAACCTGTCAAATTCTGATGAATTTCCACCCGGAACCGAGGCTACTGATGCTACAGGATGCATTGTAGGGCTTCCATCTGATTCTGCTGGTTTACCTGATAGTTGTGTAGATTCAAATTTGTTGAATTCTTTACATGAAAAGACAGAGTGTTCCACCCATACTGACCACCTAGATTCTCAGAAAGAGGAAAAATCTTTAACGGAAACTGTTCCAGAAGATAAAATCAATTCACAGGGCCAGCAAAGCCAGTACTCTCCAAAACATACTGAAGAAACAAAAGAAGATGGTTTGGACAAGGAAAGAGAAACAGTTCAACATCTTAAAGGTACAGAGAAGGCATGCCCGATTGCAGGTAAAACAATTAATGAGAAAATACAACAGCATATTCTATATTAAATTTATTAAGTATATTTTAACTGCAAACATATAAGACACATGAGGTTGGCAAACTCCAATGTCAAATTAGACAAGTGGAATAAAATATTTGACATTGGTTCATATTCTAATTACATTTTCTAGTTGCAGTTAGTGCCAATAAGTACACTTTTGTTGCAGTGGTTCTTCAGATGAGAGCTTTGCTAAGATTTATAAACTTTAAAGAGTAAAGGTTGTTAAAAATCCCTCTTTTTTAGTGCAAGTTTTAAGGAAAGACATATCAATCTTGGTGTCCAATAGACTGAGTGTCCTATTTAATTCTTAGACTTGCTATAAAATCAAAACAAAGCTGAGTAAATAAGCCATGCAGTAATTAATGAAATTCAAGTCTTGATAATATCATTTGTAGTTATCCTAACTGTTTATTTCTAGTTTATTTACTGTGTAAAACAAAGGGTGTTAACACCTAAATCAAGTAAAATGAAAAAAATCATCTTGCTGTAACTAGGGACCATGAAATCTTATTTAAAAATGGTATTTTAATACAGACTTTGCAGTCCAGGAAATGTCTAAAGAGCTTATACAATTGAAATATTGTAAAATATCGCAATACTTCATTTACATTTACTGCTGTTTCGATGGAATTGTGTATGTTGCACTTCTTAACTGCTGCATATCTACAGAAATTAATAAGACTGGGACACCAAGATAGTTTGCTAAGCTGCGACTTGCTGAATAAATTATGGTGACTGGGTTCGCACCATAAAGTAGGAACAAATCCAAAGATATTATAGAATGGTTTGGTATGATATTTCAACTTAAACATAGAATGGCCAGAAAACATGAAAAGGTTGAACTATTGCTGAACTTTTGCTGATTACTTACAGATTAAGTAATTAAGTACAGATTAAGTACAGATTAATATTTACAGATTAAGGCAGGCATCTCCAAGCTGCAGCCCACTACTGGGCAGTGAGCTGTTCAGAACCAGGCCACGGAAGCACCTGGCAAATGGTGCATGCACATCCCCATTTGCGTAAGCAGCAGGTGAATCGTGTGCACTCCATTTGTGTGAGTGGCAGGCATGTGTGCCCACTGCTCGTGCAAATGGAGCTGCACGCATGCGCTTGCTGACTACTTGCAAGGAACCATCCCCTCTCCCCGCCAATCCGAAAGGTTGGGGAACCCTGGATTAGGGCAGTTTTCTGAACTTCAACTCCTCAGTTATTAGATTGTAACATTCATAACTCATATCCATTGACATGTAGTGAGGAATTCTGGGAGCAATGGTTGAAAAAGCTTGCTGTACTGATTGGTAAAATTGTATAATTTCATATAACTGGATAGGTTGTTTCTCATAATACTGCTATGCTTTTTTTTTTTAAAGATGTACCACATAGGACATCCAAATTAGTGCCTGGAGTCTATTCTCAGAAGACAGTTGAATGCTTTACACCACAAGTAAATCAACAGAACTCAGTGAAACAGCTAATAATAAACTATTATCAGTCTCTTCAAGATAATGGTAAGAATATTCTTGATTTTTTACAAAACTGATCAAATAAGCCATACAGTAATTCATGAAATTCAAGTCCCGATAATATCATTTGTAGTCACCCTAGCTGTTTATTTCTAGGCTTATTTTACTGGGTAAAAAAAAGGATGTTACAGCTAAATCAAGTAAAATGAAAAAAGCAATACTTTGCTGTAACAAGGGACCATTAAATCTTCATTTAAAATTATATTTAATACCTTAGAGGCTTTGCAGTCCAAATGTGTAAAGAACTTCTTTGTTTATGCATGTGCAATATCATAAAACATCACAATACTCCATTTACTCTGCTGTTTTGATGAAATTGTGCAGGTTGGGTTTCTTAAGTGCTACCTGCCTATAGAAGATAGTGACACTGTGACATAGTTTGCTAAGCTATGACTAGCTAAAAAACTATGGTGCCTGAGTTTACGCAAGGGATTTGGTAGAAAAAAATCTCTTAAAGCCAAACAAAAGACATTAATGCTATAAGCGGGAATTGAACCTGAACTCTTTATATATTAAGTAGGGGTTGACCTGATGCCTGGGGGTGGGAATTAGTTATTACTACTGTCTCAAGATTGACTCCTTTGAGATGTGAGATATTTCCATTAATAATAAATTGCTTAAGTCTTTGGCATGTGACTTTTGTCTTTGTGTGATGTTGTTTTCTGAATGGCTTTCTCTGTCTTCATTCTCTGTTCCTTGCCCTTGATTATTAGGTTTTTTCTTCTATGGAGTTTTTCTGGCAATAACGTTCGTGTTCATTGCTATAAGTTGCCATTATTGCTACCCTTTACGCCCTCCAAATATGCCAAAAAATCCAGTGGTGGAAGTCTTCTTATCAAAGTTTGATCCACTGAAAGACATCTTCCCAGGTCAGAGCCCTCACCTGTGGGGACGAGTACGGAAAATATTGCAGAAACACCTTAATACATCCTACCACACTGAACCAGCTATCTTAATCTTTGCTGCAGCCCAGGAAGCTAAATCAACTCTGAAGTGTCTGAGCACCCAGATTGCCAGTGCCTATTCATCATCCCTGGGAGGCAGCACAGTCCATGTAGATGGAGCTTCTAAATCCACTCTAAGCAATGATCTTGCAAAGCTGACAATTGATGAGGAGCTGAGCGTTGGTTTCCATGGAGGAGGAAAGGCAGCAGTAGTACATCAGTTTGAATCCCTGCCTGCAAGTTCCACCTTAATCTTTTACAAATACTGTGACCACGAGAGTGCTGCTTTCAAAGATGTGGCACTGATTTTGACAGTTTTGCTGGAGAATGAGAAGTTGGATCCTAGCATTGGCCTACAGATTGTGGAGGAAAATGTGCGGGATTTCCTCTGGGCCAAATTCATAAACTCTGATTCACCCAGTTCTTATGACCTTATGGATACTGACAAGCTAAGTGGGCTCTGGAGCCGCATATCCCACTTAGTTGTGCCTGTTTGTCCTGTGCCATTTATAGAAGATAATGGCTGCTTTCAGCAAGTGGCAAATAAAGAAGATTTCACTTTTAAAAATTAAAGGTAAAAGTGGAGCCCACTTTTAAACCTTCCTTTTACAGTCTTCTGAAGGATTTGCACAAATCAGATTTTTTTTTTTTGATTGCTTAAACGGACTAGAGGTATTAAGAGGAAACAAGCTGATTTTAAATAAATATGCATTGTGATGTTGGTTTTGATTATGGCTTTCATAAAAAAACAGAGAAATTATTGAATTGATTTTATAGTTGAGTTGGCATTTGCAATGCAATTTAATGCAATATTTTTAAAGATGGGTAACTACTATAATTTGCACATTTATATATTCATAACAAGTTTGCCATTGGAGGAAGATGGAAAGACTACTCCTAAAATCTTTCTTATGAACAGAATGGTTAGCTTAACCTAGAACTCCTGATTGGCATGTGAGAATTCTAGTAATTAACTAGTGATTATGTGAACTTCTATTCCTAAACAAGCACTACAAAGTTCAGCATATTTGCACAAAATCTCCATATACTAGTTCAGTCAACATACCGAAAATTAGATGCTGATATTAAAGCTAACTGCAAAATAAACTAGGTCCAATTTTCAGATTTTATGCAAGTGAATATATTGAATTTATAAAAAGTTTTTTAAAATACAGCCTCCACTTGGATTAACTTATCAAATAAGTTAAATGCACTGTATTTGTGCATCTAAGGCAGTGGTTCTCAACCTTTTTAATGCCGCGACCCCCAACCGGTCGTAAGTCGAGGACTACTCAACTGGTGCAGCACCGTTTGCAGAATGGGACTTTTGGCGGGCTCAGCAGAGCAGAGACAGCCTGGACAATTCCTATTGGCTTTTGAAAGCCAATAGAATTAGACTGTATTCAAGAGAGTCTATTCTATTGGCTTTCAAAAGCCAATAGAATAAAAGGAAGTAGCACAGCTAAGGAAAAGGGGAAAAAATGGCGGACTGCGTTGTTTGGCGACCCCCGTGAAATGGTCGTTCGACCCCAAATGGGGTCCCGACCCACAGGTTGAGAACCACTGATCTAAGGGATATTTTCTAAATGGTAATTCTAAAAATACCTTTTACTGTAATGTGATATACTATTCTATATATAAAGCAGCTGTTGTATATTGCACCTCTTTTCAGTTTTGATGATTTTAAGAATTTAAACTACAATTCTTTCCAAAGATATAATATAAATATCCTATTGGGAACAGAAGATGATGCCTTATGGTCACTCAGTTTACCGTTTCATCTAATCTAGTATTTTTTCAACCACTGATTAGGACTCTTGGACTTATCTGGATATCTTGGCACTGAAGGTGGCTGAGAATTCTTAGAACTGCTGTTATAAAAAAAGTGAAGAGGGTGGAAATGCTGCCTTAGAAATTACATAAGTATAATTCAGTTCCATTCTAGTAATAAATTGGGACTGCCTAGTTAGGGACTACAAAGTTCAGAGATTTAGAAAAGTGATGCTGGGTTAACAAACATACAGATGTCTGTAAAGAATTGACAGCCTAAACCTATGGTAGCTGCAATACAAAGAAATTATTTTCATTTTATTTAACTTTATTACAGATGAAATAAAAGAAATTGGAAGTTTCCCTTGCAAACCAGGCTACATATATTTCTATACTTTGTGACAGTTACGAGAATCTATGAGAATCTCCATTCTCTTTTAGTAAAAGATTCTCCTGGACAAACATACTAAATCTATTTTCATTTAAAGATCCTGTAGTTTTTAGCACAGTTTGGTGCTGGGTAGAGCTCTTCAGATTGCAGTTGAGTAAATTGATGAGTAATATGATAGTAGGCAACTCAGGCAAGCATCTATTGATGCCAGTCTGCATTGAACTTAAAATTTCAGTTCCCAAATTTATAGGAACCCAAAAACCTGGAATAAGGTAATGACATACCACTTCCAAAGTAGTGCCAAAACCCCCTGCATGAATAGATCTGTGTAGTTACCAGGAGTAAAGCTCAATTCAAGACAATTTTTATCTATTTAATAAGTATACAATAATAATAAACCAGTATATACAACATAAAAATTGGATCTAACTTAAGTTAGTCACGTGTTTGTCCCCTTGAATTCAACAAGTCTGCAATTGGTCATCACTGCCTTGTCTCATTGGTTTCAATGGAACTAAAGTGGGATGTGGTTCAAATCTAATGGAGCAGATAGGAAGTAAGTAAGTACAGATCTTTTTCCACAGCATTTTTTCAATGTATATTGAGAAAACTCACCATTCCCTACCCAAGTTTTTTGAATATATTCTACCACAAACTTAGCATTGCAAGTTATTTTCCACTGCAGGGTTTTGGTTGAAAAATTACCATCACCTTTTAACCTAACAGCTCATGAAAAGCAAATTAATCAAGATTTTTTGAAAGATTGAAATTCAAAAAAGCTCATGAAATGGCAGAATAATTAATGGAGAGGTTTTTTTTTAATGTAAACCTAATCAAATCACCTACAAATCACCACAGATGGAGAAATTGGTAAAGATGGCTAATTTGGAAAGGTTTGACATGAGTGATCTAGAAAATTTTCAATGCTACAGAATTAAATTTTAGTGCCATGTGTCTTTTAACTTGGCCGCCGAAGTGATGTGCAAGCGCATACATGATGAAGCTGCATTTGTGAAAGCAGCACGCACACGAAACCATCCCCTCTCCCCCCACTCAACCGCTGCTTCTGCTGATTTGCCAAGCCGGAAAAGTTGGATGCCGCTGTTTTAAAGGGCATCTGTGAGAGAATTTACTGCATGCCCTTCATGATTTGTATTTGATTTGTATCTAGCAATATTAACAGTTGCTAGGATATGTTCTCATTAAAAATATTATGACAAGAAGAAAAACAGCTTTATGACCTGTGAGAGACAGACAGAGAGAGACAGAGAGGGAGAGAGAGAGAGATGGGGCCCTGTACTACTAATCTGGGAATAAATTCTATTGAACTTGGTGGATTTTACTTTTGTGTAGGCATAGATGTAGTTCTGCTCTTAGGAGATTTAAAGAAATATTCTCAGAATGGATGCTCTCAACATCTGGTTAGATAATGGGAGATTATAGGAGTTGTAGTCCAAAACATCTGGAAGGCACTTGACTGGGGGAGACTGATCTGTCAAAGTAAGTCTAAATTCCTACCTCACTTTGTTGCTCTTCATGTTTAGAAAGGTGGGATTTGAAACAATATAATGCCATCTAGTGGTTGTATTAAGGCAAACGTATGTCTTTGTGTAACTAGAGTCAACCTATATAGATAGTCCTCAACTTAGGATCATTCATGTAACAACTGTTCAAAGTTAAAAGAATACTTGAAAAGTGACTTTTATGTTGCAGTGTCCCTGCAGTCACATGAACAAAATTCAAGAATTTGGCAATTGATGTGTATTTATGATGGTTGCATCCTGGTGTCACATGATCATTTGTGACCTTCCCAGGAGGTTTCTGACAAAGTCAGTGGGGAAAGCTGGATTCACTTAACTGTGTGATTCACTTAACAAATGCAGCAATAAAGGTCATAAAATCAGGCACAACTCACTTAACAATCGCATTGCTTAGTCTTTAGTCTGGTCCCAATTGTTATCTTAAGTTGAGGACTACCTGTATTTTTCTGTGGGTGTATTATGGATATCTTACATGGTTGCTAATGTATCAATGTTTTTTTATATATATCTTTAAAACACGAATCTCACACTTTAATTAAGTGGCTGTCATTCATTCGTTACTTTTATATATTGCCAAATCAGTATAGAATTCCTGTCTGTTAACTGCGGTATGAAAGTATCAATTGTACGTTTAAAACCCTCCAATTATATTAAAATGACATGATACATATTCAAAATTCTCACCAATCATATAAACCAGAGTTCCCCAATCTTTTCGGCTTTGCGGACCAGTGGGGGAGGAAGGAGATGGTTCTGTGTGCGCGACAGGCAAGCCCACACGCAGCTTTATTTGCATGAGCAGCATGCACGCGCACCCATCACTTGCGCAAATTTTGAAGTGTCTGTGCACGCACTTGCCCTCTGCTCGCACAAGTGGGAATGCTTGAGTGCCCCTCCCCTGCCACTTCCACGGCCTGGTTCCAAAAGGCTCAAGGCCTGGTAGTGGCCACGGCCTGGGGGAAGGGGACCCCTGATATAAACGGCAAAAACAATAATAACAGATTTTCCAAGTACAGTTTTTTTAAAAAAAGACTATCTCTGTTATCTCCCAGCAGTCTCTGGATGAGCTCTATGTTATAGAAATTAGCTCCCAGAAACTTACAACAAGCATAATTTCTGAAGGGAGCCTATTTCACAAACTATGACAGAGATGTGTTTGCTAATCTTAGCCCTCTCTATGTCACATGGGGAACAATTTAAAATTTGTGCTAGGATGTTTAAAGGCTGGTCAATTCCAACTGGAGAAAATACCTGGGTACTTTTATAGATCAAAACAGCAATTTCATTTGGAATTGGAATGATGTCTCCAACACCGAGTCAGGATTTCCATTATATTTGCCAATACTGCCTCTCGTGGCAATTTTCCCTTGATATCGTTATTGTAAGCAGGGATCCCCAAACTTGGGAACTTTAAGACTTGTGGAGTTCAACTCCCCAAATTCCCCAGCCAGCATAAATTGCAGAATTAGCCTGCCATACTACATTCCAATCACTGCATCATCACAGATAGTCGTTGCTAACTGACTACTTATTCAGTTATGATTCAAAGTTACGACAGAGCTGAAAAAGATTATGACCAGTCCTCAAAGCTGCGTCCGTCACTGTGTCCCCGTGGTCATCTGATCATGATTCAGGCACTTTGCAACCAGTGTACATCAACTGTGGAGCCATGATAGGGGAGATAAAATCAGAGGAAAGAACAAGATTGGAGCTCTCTATGGCTTTAGTCAAATCCAAACCTAAAATAGGGTGAAGTTTCTTCACAGCCAAGAATTACCCTTTCAATTGCCATAATCAAGAAATTCAACTGAGGTTCAAAATTTGAATTAAAATCTCAAATACAGCAGTTTATTTTTGCTAGTACTTCTCTTCCCTTTCCTTTTTCTTCTCTGAAAAAGTTTTCTCATTCCCTGGTTTTCATCTTTCAGTATTTACACTTCAGGGTCTTAGGTAGGTCTACAGAGAACAGCATTGTTTCTTTTTTGTGCTCTTTGATTTCTGCTTTGACAGCTAAAGTTGGTGTTTGATGGTAGTATTGTTACACAAACTCCAGCTTTAAGATTACCTTTCTAACCAGACCTGTGTTGTTGTTCTTGGACTTTTTCATCAAGAGTAAAATATATTTTGCTGTTCAAATAAAGTAATATATCTTTAATTTTGCATTTTTTTTCAATGAATATTTTAGGAGTATGACTTTTAACTTGATGAAAGCTTTGAGATGTTCTTTACTTAATGGAAGTTGTACACCCCTGTTTTATATGCTGTCCTATACAGGAGTACATCCAAATATTTTGGACAGCTCACTATAGCAAAAAAAAAAAAAGCATAAGTATTTTTCATCCCATGTTTTATAAATAATGAATATAAAACTCAACTCAATTGGAATACTTTTACAAAGTTTAATGTATATAAAATCATGAATTTTATTTTTAAATTCACTTTAACATTAACATATACAATACTTAAGGGAATGCAGACAAAGTAATCCAAATGTTGTGCAATACCTGATAATTATAAAGGATCAAAACCCAAAGAGAAATTGCAAAAGATAATGTCCACAAGGCTGCAAAAACCACACAGGGAGACAGAAATGATGAATTCTAGGTTTCTCGCCAGAGTTAAAGGCAATAATTATAGACAATTATAAAAGCTAAAATAAGCTTTCTCATTTGGTCGTGAGGTTTCTGAGAATTATTGGATAAACAACACAGACCACTGTTTATAACTCAACCTTATAATACAACAATATCTGCTCTGATTCATAAGATCAGAGCATTTTTCAAATATCAATCTACAGTAGTGGCCAAAATTGTGGAAACCTTTCGGGAAAAGTGTATTACATTATAGACCATAGCTTCTTAAGCCACTTATAACAGATCATTTAAACTTTCCAAATATCTGATGGGTATTCATTTTGTAATTTATACATTTAACAAACAAATACATTTATAAAACAGATAAAACAAAGGGAAAAAAACAGGCTTCCTTTGTTTTTAAGTATGTGAATATATTAAAGTCCTTCTCAAGCAAGGCAATCAACAGAATCTCATGAAACCCTTTTGTTAAACAAAAGATCATTCAGATATTCCCATTGGTGGGGAATAATTGACTTTGTTGCTAAAGCACCTCAAAGAGTAATTGTACTGTACTATATGCCAATTATTTGTAAATATGTAAGTAGTCCTTGACTTACAACAGTTCCTTTAGTATCCATTTGAAGTTACAACGGCACTGAAAAAAGTGATGTATGACCGATTTTCACACTTACAACAATTATGCATTCCCACGATCATGTGACCAAAATTCACACATTTGGCAACTGACACATATTTATGACATTTGCAACGTCCCAGGGCTCATGTGATTGCCTTTTACAGCCTTCTGACAAGCAAAATCAATGGGGAAGCCAGATTCACTTAACAGCCTTATTACTAACAGTTGCAATGATTCATTTAACAACTGCGGCAAGAAAGGTCGTAAAATGGGGCAAAATTCACTTAATACTTAACAACTGTCTCAGCAACATAAATTTGGGGCTCAATTGTACAGGGGTATCAATCATTGAGAGATACATGCCCCTGTACATCCTGTTTTTCAGCCAAGTCTTATTATATTCACTGGCTCCCAGTGAATTCCCTTTAAATTCCTGAAAGGAGCAGGCCAAAAAAGGCTTTCATCTTCACTGGAGCAAACTACTGTACTTCATGTGTTAAGTAGCAGGATCCCATGGGTGCCACTGAGAGGGCCCTATGATACAAAAACATTGTTTATGTAGTACACCTCAACAATAATCAACGATTAATTGTCCGCAAAAAGGAAAAACTTGGAAACTGCTGCCTGCCCTGCTTGACAATAACTTCCCAGTCCCTGACACAGCTCAAGCTATATCAACAGCTTCCCACCCCTAAATGAACATGTTTGGGGTTATATTTGGACCGTTGGCTTAAGTTGACCAGTTCACTTTTCCCATCACCGCCATTTGGTTAATGCATACAACAGATCCATATATACCCACCCACCTAAAGGTTTGGGAAAGGCCTCTTTATTGTTGAATCCAATACCGCCCCCCCCTCACCCCATCTAATAAAAGTTTAATCTCTGTTCCAACATCTGCAACCCTTAGGTGCAAGAAAACATAGTTCCAAAGAGTCCAGCCCACCCTGGAACCTTGCCTACTTTTCCCGCCCTGCTGTCTAATCTGGCAGCTCTCGCTGAAGGGCCTCTTTGACAGTCAAGCAGGAGAGGATGTGGGCCCCTCCCGCCTTCCTTTCCTCGGCCAGCAGCGGGCAAAAGCTGCTGCAGGAAGGCTCCCGCTGCGCCGGGATCCTTTGTCTCGTCTTTGAAGAGGGAGGAAGGGGCAGACAGAAAGACCCCCACTCTTCCCTTCCTTCCGTCCCACTGGCGGCCTCTTTGGGTGGCTCTCGGGTCGCCTTGTCAATCACCGCTGCCCAGAAGCCACAGGGTTGACCCGCGCTCCCGCAGACACCCATCAGATCGGAAAGTCATTATTTACTTACTCGGCCATGCCGGTTTGTGTTCAGGCAGCTGCTCCTGCTGCCGCCGGGACTTCGCTGCCGCCTTTTGGCCGCTCATGGAGCGCTAGAGAGCACGATGGCCGCGCCTCCCGCCTTCTCCGCCCGCCGGCTCCCCTTGCTGCAGTTGCTACTTCTGCTATTCGCCTGTGCACTCCGCGCTAAGGTAAGGGGCCAGAAGTGGCGAATGTGAGGCAACCCTCGGCGGTGACCGACTTTCAGCCGCTGCTGCACTTTGGGGAATTTTGTGTGCCCTTCCCGAAGGATTCCTGAAAGGCACTTTTACAATGTGCTCCCGCCGCGGCTTCCCCTAGCTGGGCTTGCTTGCAAGCAGATGCATCCGGCCGTAGCCACCGTGCCCCATTTCGGAAAAGTAATACCCCCCCGAATAATCCGTTCTTGAGTAAGGTCTCGTGGCTGTCCCAGCCACCGTCGCTATACTCGGATCTGTCGCGAATCTTGGCTCCAAATCGACCTCTTTTCTAGGGCGTTTTCCCGCCCCATTCCTTTTAAAATGTTACGATCAGTGCTGAGCAAGGAGAGAAAGGCGTGAAACGACGGCGCTGATTTAGCCTGCTGCGCTGCCCTCTTGAAACTTCCCACGGTGTTTGCTTTAAAATTCAGGCTGGAATTTTTTTTTAAAATTGTTATTATTATTTTGCTTCCGAAACCTTTTCCCCTATTGCCGCTAGTTCATCTCTACAACTCATGGCATTGTCACCAGTGGCTTTAAAAGCTTCTCTGGTCGTCTGGAATTGGAAGAAGCCCAGTTAATGCAGGACAGAAAATGGACAGGCGTGGGTGATTTGTGGGTTGTCGAGTACACAGTTGAATCACTGAAAAAACCCTCCTACGTGAAAATTCAGAATTTGGTGGTTGTCTTTTAAAATGTTTTTGTTACTGAATCTTAAATCTTACTCTGATGTTATTCTAATACTCAAGGTGGTTTGTGGCAATAAAAATAGGAACAAGGAAACAAAGTAATTCAGTTAAAATCAAAATAAAAATTAATTAAAATAATTAAGAAGTTAAAGCTTGCCAGAGAGATCCTAAATAACGGGAGAGCAGGAGCCAAGCTCCTTTCCTTAGGAAGTGCACTGAGTGGCTTGCCCAAGTTCCTGATTGTCCCATCTTCTGGCATCGGGCTTTTTCAAAGGACCTCTTCTGCTGATATCTGGAGCTGGCCAGATTCATGCCGGGACAGGGAATATAGCAAATGAACCCTATCCCATCCCTATTGAGGATTTTGAAGATCAAAAAGGTACTTTATGTTGTGCCAATAGCTACGATAACCAGTGAAAGTGTTTCTAGTAGAAGCATCGTTATGATCCCAGAGCCATGCAATAATCAATAACTTGGCCCCTGGGCAGTTTGTACCTTCTGGACATTTTTCATGAGTAGCTTCACATAAAGGGTGTTGCATGTCAAGACGAGTTGTAATCAAGCCGCTGATAGCTGTTCTATCAAGTAGCTCAGGAAGGGTACTCGGTGGCCCACTAGCTGTAGTTCTGCATATTTATTCTTCACCACAGCCACTTTGCAAATCCAGTGACCACGGTGGTCAAAGAGCCCTCTGATTCCCAGGGAAAACAAACTCTACCCTAACCGAATCAGTTTTCTCTCTACTAAATAGCACTTCTGTCTTATCTCGAAATAATTTCAGCTTATTTTTCCTCACCCAGGTTGTTATTATCAAAACTAAGCATTTATCAGTCATGTCAATTGCTTCCGTGGGATTTATTTTATTTTATTTTATTTATTTATTAAATTTGTTAGCTGCCCATCTTGTTGCAAGGAATTAAATTAAAAGGCAGGGAGCAATAGAACGGGGCTGTCGTCGTCTCACTGACGGCCTCCCCTTCCAAAACTTCAGTGATTTCATGTATATCTTAAAAAGCACAGGAAGCAAAATAGAAAAGCATATTTCGGTGTCGAACAGGAGATGCCCAGAATACCTTCTGAATATATGCTTCAATGTCCTATCCGAGCATCCAGCTACTAGCAGGATATTTACACCTGAACATTCCTATTCTGTTCCTCAATGTAATAACTTTTATAGAAAGAAGAACATTTCACATTTGGGGATGATCAAGGTATTATAGGAATGAATTTGCTGTGGCTGTTTCTACTGTATCTAAACTTTCAGGACATGAGTCAGAAAAGTGGCTTATCCTGACTGCTGTAACCTTCTGTGTCATTTTAAAGAACAAAATTCTATGAAAATAAGGGTGTGCCATGCACAGGCCCAGTTCATTCATCTTAAACTGCTTTCTCTTTCACGTATCATGTTCACAATTGGTAATGTCCAAAGGTAGTCAGTTCTAATCATTGAGCTAAATATGTTAAAAGATTTTGCTTTCTGGAAAAATCAACTATATGTTGTTTATTTCAGAAGAATAGATCTTCTCCCTTTCTTTCTTGTGGTGGTCTCCCATGGAGAATGAGACACGCAGACAGGTATCTCGGGATGAGAGCCCAGAGCTGACTCCAGCACCCTCTTTTATTGTTACTAAGGTTTTCACATCACAGAGCATAATCAAAAGACATATATAGGGGTGGTTACAATGTATCAAATAACAGACACTCTCCAGATACAAGGCTACTGCAGGTGTTCTTATCAGAGTCTGTCCAAAAGGCTGATGAATGTATCCTGTGTCTGAAACAGTTATCTCAGGCCCTTGTGGGAGATGCCCATGGATAGATGCCCATGGACATTTGTGCAATTAGTCCCACATCTCCTGCTTTTCTGTTTTTTCAATGTTACTCACTTCCAGTTCCAGAAGGGATCTTGATTCACTGATTAAGGCGTCCTTCCTAGTGGAGGGCGTAACATTTTTGCACATTTGCAGGAGGGAGGGAATACATTGAATGCAACAACATAGCAATACAAATAATATCAAAATGGTTACTATAATAGAAATCAAAGATCGTAGCCAGGATCCATCCGGTAGCCAGGACCAAAGGCACCCCAAATATCCACGGTGCCTGATCCATCGCTGCGTAAGGGATTATTCTGGAGCATAGATTCCATTTTTCTAGCTGTAGCAGAAATATTAGGTTGAAAATCATGTATATATATACAACAATGAGAATGAATTAAGGCACATACACCGCCTTTTGCTGCTAAAATAATATCTAAAGCATACCGATTTTGCAAACCTACTTCCCTTATTTCCCCCTTTTCTTGATTAATCATTTTAATGCTGTTAATTGTTTCATTAAACATATGAACAGTCCAATTGTTAAGCAAATGAAGGTCTCTATAGTTCATGGCAACTCCTAGATTGGGTAGAATCCCTCTGCTGATTTGAGTCTCTAAACTACCACCCAATGTTAGGGGTGGATCCGAGGAACCAGTATCACGTTTGTTCCGCAGGCGTCCATCAGGGAGATGAGGCAAAGCATATACAGCAGGAGTCAAAAGGCCCAGTGTACAGGTGCCTTTCCAATCCTTAGGCACCTGGCGATAGGCTCTACGGCCACATAGTAGCCACATATCGGGTAACTCATAATAACCCTGGTGAGACTCATTAGCAAATGTTATTATGGATTCCATGTCAAGGCAAGCCATGTAGGTACTGATGTTTGTCCATTGATTGCTTTGATAAGTGTCATTTACCTTAGTAAGGTTGCTTTTGATGGATTTGCATTTCTTTGCTGAATTCCATATAATAACTTGTTGACAATTACTATAAGTTCCCAAATAAATGGCAGTACGGAATAGTCCTGTGCTATAAAAACAAAATCTGGCAGGTTCCATTATACGAGCACCCACAGCATATGTCATATTCAATGTCTCTGTAGTTATGCTCCACAGCTGCTTCCATCCTGTTTCATTGAACGGGATGGCATGGAAAATAAGGCCACCACGACTGTCACCAGGAATTTGCATGCAGATCCAACAGTTCGTGATGTTAAGTGTAAGAGCAGTGCGCCTGGCATCCCGTACAAAAGCATTAAAAGCCCACAGTCCCTGATCCTCATATGCCTGGCTGAGGTGGTGTACGTTGAGCCATATAAGGACGAACACAACGAGCTGGAGTCCAAATGATCTCGCCATGGTCGTCTATTGCAGCGTAGCCTCGACCCCAAGTAATGAGGGAAGCAGGCCCTTTCCAGATGGGATCAGGCAAACGTCGATAGTATACCTGGGGGCGTGAAGAATCTGTGGGAGAAGCAGAAAAATGCCTGCTTGCGGCAGTTGAGCCAGGGGTGCCAGAAACATTCAAAAAGTTTAAGGTAAAAAGTACAAGATTAAGAGTGTTTTGTATCCCAGGCAAGCCGGGGGTATTTTCCCCTTTCTTTTTTGCATGCATGTCTAGAGCCCTTTTTAAGGTCTGATTGGCTCGTTCCACGATCGCTTGACCAGTGGAGTTATATGGAATGCCAAATTTATGAATAATAGACCAGCGAGAGCAAAACTGCGCAAAGGAGGTGCTGGTATAAGCAGGAGAGTTATCAGTCTTAATTTCTTTTGGATTGCCCAGGGTAGAAAAAGTACGAATACAATGATTAATAACATGTTTAGCAGACTCACCCCTTTGAGGGGTGGCCATAATAAAACCTGAATAGGTGTCAATGGAAACATGCAAATATTTCCAAGGGGCAAATGGCAAATATTGTGTAACATCCATTTGCCAAAGTTGACAGCTCTGCGTCCCTCTTGGGTTGACCCCTTGAGGAACAGAGTGTGCTTGGAGGCTGCAGGTGGGACATTGTTGTATGATAGCCGCAGCCTCTGTAGCTGTTAAAGAAAATTGTTTCATTAAAGCCTTCTTATTTTGATGAAAATATGAATGGCTGTCCCATGGAGTTATGGGAGATAAAACAAGGACAGAAACGTCCTGGTGAGTGGAGGCGGCCGAAGCGGCAGCATCCGCCTTGGCATTGCCTTCGGAGATAATACCAGGGAAAGGTTGGTGACTTCTAATAGGAGCAGGAAAAAAACAAGTAGAGCGGGAATGAAGAAAGGATTGGAGTGTGAGAAATAGACTGAGGAGAGAGTCATCCAGTGAGGGTGACACATATGAATCAAATAAAGAGGTGAGAACTTTATATACTATCTAAAATAAGATTAAAAGGTTCAGAAGAAAAAGTTTGTAAGGCCAATATTGTAGCAGCAAGTTCAGCACGCTGAGCAGAAGTTTGAGGAGGAGTAATTTTTGT